CCTCCTAAATTTGTAGCAGGGCTTTGGAGAAGATTACCATCTTCAGGCACTCAAATTGTGGTTTATATATTTATTTTGTGTTTTAATTTTGGATGCTTACTTTCAACCTAGGGTTGAGCCTTTAATATTAATGTTTTCAAGATTTGTTTCTCTCTTAAGTAATCAATTAGAAACTCATTTCCCCCTGAAAATGAGAGCATTAAAATACTTACGATGATAAAATTGCAAGAGTTGGCAGTGCTGTCTCCTTAGGTATCAGGAGAATTGGCTATTTCACTTCTTTAGTTTGAGTGGAACAAAGGCTATCTATCCTGTCTGGAGTGTTTTGCAAAAATCTAAAACAACATGGGCACTACATAAATAAATACTTAATAGGTATACACATAAGGCTGAAATAGGGTGAAATTTAAGTCGGATCAAGACCTGTCTGTCAGCTTTTCACTTTGGGGGGCCCTCCATCCCCATCCTTTTCTTTGGTTTAGTACTTCTGTATCCTTCCACCCATTGGTATGTCAGCATTGTTTTTCCCCAGGATAGTTCTCTGGTACTCTATTTGCACAGTTCAGTAGCTTACTCTCTGAAAGGAGGGCACAAACTCCAAACTAAGTTGGTTCACATTGAATTCCATCTAAATTTCTCAAGCACTGGGTACTAAGTACCTGCCAGGTACAGTCATTCAAAAATAAATAAAGGCCTAGAAACTGTATACTATCCCCCCTAGGAACAACCCCCATGATGTTGAGAGTTTGGCTGTATGGATATGTAAAAAGTCCTGTTGCTTTCTCCCTGCTCACAAAATAACTATCAAGTAAGATCGTTATAAACAGAACTAAGCGCTGGTGAATTGTTGGTGTCTGCTCATAATCCTTTATCACAGAGTTGTAAGTAGGGGACACAAAAATGCATCTGTAGCCTTCCAATATACAGAGAGACTTTGATATTCAGTTTGTGGGTGAGCTGGCTGCATGAAAGGAATGCTTCAATCCACACAAAGGTAAATGGAAGTAACTGAGAGGGGTAACAACAGCTCCTCTTCTCCCTGCACTGTCCCCCTTCCCTCCCCAATTACTGTTGTAATGAGAACTGTTGCTACTGACCTATTCTGCTTTCCTTTCAGAATCAAGGCAATTGAAAGCCCCAACAAAGATGATGACACACAGTGGCTGACTTACTGGGTTGTTTATGGAGTCTTCAGCATTGCAGAATTCTTCTCTGATATCTTTCTGTCTTGGTTCCCTTTTTACTACATGCTGAAGGTTTGTTTCCCCCTCCAATAAGGATTTTGATGGAACTGATTAATATCTTCTGAAGTGGTAAATGGTAGTAAGATTTTTTCCTGGTTAATTTTTAGACCAATTAGCATATAGCACCAAGTCAACTGCAATGCTAACACTTTCTTGAGGTTAGGGGAACAATGAAGAGGAGGGCAGGAATTCTTGCTATCTAACACCTTAAGACTTGTGTCAGCATGTACTCATGCAGTGGACAGGTCTTAGGGATATGTCCAAGTTTACAGAAGTAGGGGCTAGCAGGAGCAGAGAGGTCACAATGAAAAGTAAAGTATCAGCTTCTTATTGTGGTCACTTGTGGAATGGAGAGGGAATTGGAGGGTAAAGTTATACATTTTGGATTATATCGCTTCATTTGTCCCTTTAAATATTCTTCCCTCCCCTCCACCTGCTATATACCTTTTTGTTTCTAGTTCTACATTGAAGGCTATTTGTACATATCAAGCAGAGTCAGCTCAGGGTACTTTGGGGCAGTGACAGATATCTTTGAAAAGATGGCAGGTGCTATCCTTCCCTGCGTGCACTGCGCCCCTTCCAGAAATGTCCCATAGCATCTAGATCAGATCATTTACAAATGAAAGATGGATGTGATGTTGTCTCTTGAAGTTGCAACACCTTATCACTGAAGTATCTCTGCAGCCTGTACTTTGACTACAAAATAGAACCTGCTTAAAATACTGTAGGCATTCTCTGCCAATTGACTTAACTTTCTGAGTCAGCTTTAAAACAACTGTATTGCTTATGTTCAACAAAATAGCCAATTGCCATGTGCCCTGAGACGCAAAGGAAGCTGCAGCTAAGGCAACTGCATTTGAAGTGCAGCAGTTAATTGCTATGTATTTTCTGGATTGGGTTCTCTTTTTCTCTATCCCTATTTTATCCCCTCATTTGCACTTTATTTTTGTAACAACTAGTTGCACAATGCTTAATTCTAAGAAGTTAGCCCAGTAAAGATTTGTATATAATCATAGTAACAGTTACAAGTCAGTTGTGCAATTTTAACTACTAAGATCTGATTCTCTAGCATCTTCCCCAGTATATGCTTCATTTTAAGGCCCACATGTTAAAACCCTGGGTTGAACAGTTCAGCTGATCCAGGATAAAGGTTCACAAGGAAAGAATGGTAGATGCATTGGATATTATTCTATAACTTAAACCAGGCATCTGAAGTACAGGGTGTGATTGACAAATTCTGATCTAGTCTTAAAAGTAGCCAGTTCTATCTTCCTTCCTTTTTTTTTTTCTTGAAAATGAAGATTTATTTTATAATGCAACAATCTTTTTTCAATATTTTAAAGTTTAGGAAAAAATAGTTACCTTTGGAAATGTCATGGAGACTTGACACCTCATCATGAGAAACGGCTGAGAGCCAAATTTACTTCTCCCATGTGTACATATTCATTCATAACTAGAACTGGTCATGATTTCAATATGGTCCAGTAAGTAGTTTGCACTTACTTGTGCACTTATTTCAGAAGACTTCAGATTGCTACTAAGCTTTACTAAACCCCTGTGAGGTAAGCACTGAGGTACACTGAGACTCAATTACATTACCACTGCATATAGCAAGTCACTGCTAGAAATCTTCCTGTTTTCTGGGTAGCCAAAAACGTGCCGTTGCATGCATTTGGTAATGTTATATGCAGTGGCACGTTTTTGGCTACCCAGAAAATAGGGGATTTCCAGAAGTGACTTGCTATATGCATTTGGTAATATTATATATAGCAAGTCATTGCTGGAAATCTTCCTCTATTTTCTGGGTAGCCAAAAATGTGGTAGGGATCTCTTGAAGCGAGCAAAATGTAGATGCTGCTGTAAAGAGTATACAAAGTACCATGATCTGCCTTGTTTGGTCATGTTGACAGGTCTGATGTTATAAAATAGTAACTACAGCTGAACACAGCATTTTTATCTTAATAAAGAGACATTGACAAACAGAAAAGTTCAGAGAAGACAAAATAATTGGACTTCTAGAAATGGTTTTAAAAAATGAAGTACAGCAGAAGCTGTGTCATCTGGCACTTTATCAGCCAGAAAGCTCCACTAACCAGCATCTGAGGGACACGGCAGAAGCGTAACCAGAAGTCCCACTTCGGTTTCACTGCCACAAGCTGAGTAGTTCTTCATCACTTCCTTGGCCCACAGCCTGGGGCAAAGCAGCCTCTGTGGGCCCCCTCCCATCCCCTGGCACACTGATGCCAGGGAGTGCACCAGATGGTGCACATTTGATTAACCAGCATATTTGATTAATTGGCATCCCCCATTCTCAGGGGATGCCAGATAACAGAGCTTTTACTGTAAATATGTACAGTCTATCAAAAAAAACTTGACTAAAGGACATAAGCCTAAAAACAGCTAAAGAGTATACACATCCACAAAGGGTCCATACATCATTGCTTGGTGTGAAATTTAAAATCTTTTTATTGAAAATCAAGAGAGCCTTCTGGCAGTGAACAACTGTATTAGACTGTGGAATAGATTCCCTGCAGGAGAAGACAGCTCATAGCCTGGAACCTCTAAAACTAGATTGGGTAAAACATCAGAAGAGAGTCTGTAGTGAAAAATAGATCTCTTCTGTTCCTGCTTCCATACTTCTATGAGAGAAGCTATGTTCTGACCTCTGGCTGAGTGAGGTAGTTGTCATCAGATCTCAGTTATTTCAAAATGTTGTTCAGTCTGTTGCTATGAAATGGGGTAGGTTTCTATCTGAAGATTTCATTAGGAAACACTGTTAACATATCACCATGTTGTTAAGGTTATAAACTACTGAAATCCATTTCTCAAACCACCTGGTATCTCTAGGCCTGCTGAAAAGACTAGGTGAATGTTTTTTTACCCAGAACTGACATTTTGTAATGAGCACTTGGTGTTCCATGCGTTTTTATAAAAAGCATGTGAAGTGTGCACATATTTGCCATAAGCCAGTTCAACATAGAGATGCTTGAACTAGCTTGGGCATCAGGAGCATTCTGGCTTTGGTAGCCTGGAGTTCAACGTGGCGTACCTCACCTGCTTCTCGGCTATATTCATCTAATCTTAATTAACAGCCAGAGTTGACCTGATTCTGAGCTCCACAATGCCACAGCTACACTCCTACCACTACCTAAGAGAGAATTTTAAATCTAGCTCTGACACTTGTAAGTTACACTGCAGTTACCTGTGTGGCTATACAGCAGACAATCTAAGAGTACAGCAATGATGATCCTTTTTTTTTTCTTTTTTAAATGTACTCTATGAGCGGGCTTACTTTCTCATTACAAGACAGCTGGGAATATAGTCAGGCAGCTGTATGGCTCTCATGTCAAAACTTTATAAATGACTGGACAAGCTACATTAGATTTAGCAGTCTGGTAGTTTCAAATTTAACATTTCAGAGCACAAGACATTTTATATATCAAATGCTAGCAAACTCTGAAAGCAAAATACAGTTCAAAATTAAGCTGTCTTGGAAATGTATCTAATCAACTGCAGAGAACTTATTTCAGCAAATGTAAAAATACAAAAGGCTATTAAGAACAAATCCAGAATTGGGAGGGATTAAATTCATTTGGCCAACCAGAAAGAGGACTGAAATCAAAGCAACTAATTTTAATCTTAGCCACAAGAAGGAAACTTAAAATTGTTTTCACTTTAGCCAGAAAGTTGGACTTGATGCAAGGGGATTTCCTACAATTAAAAAGAGTTCAGTTGTGGAGGAGGGGGAGGAAGAGGGGAGAGTGTGTGTGTGCATGAACGCAGGGAGACGAGTGAAATAATAATTTTGTCTTTGAATAGTTTAAGAAATATAGTTAATATGTTGGAGGCAGAGAAGTATAAGATGTAGTGCTGTCTTTTATAAAATAGACTAAATGAACAGTCCCATGTAAACAGGAGCTTTTGAGAAGAACTGTTCAACCGTTTTATTTTCTCTGACAAGTTTAATGAGACTTAAGCAGTTAAAATGGAACTGCAGTATTAGCACCATATTTGTATTACCTCTGAACTTTATTTCTTCAAATTTATTAAATGCTCCAAAACTGTGGGCAGATATTTTTAATCATTTGCAATTTTTAAATTTTATTTTCAAAGACTTCCTCCTACCATTGAGGAAAACTAAAATCTCTTTTCAAGCCAGTTTACCAGCAAACTCCCATCCACCACAAATTAGAATGTGTAGCACTTAGCTGATAGTGGTATATTAAAAAGGAGAGTTCAAAATGGCCTAGCAGCATTCAGTAAAAGGAGTTATTCTCCCTTTTTGAGAGAGTCATGCTCCAACTAGGTGCCTAATTTCTTAATGTGATATTTTGGATTTTGCCTTTACTGAAAAAAAAAAAAGTGTGGCTTTAAAAAAATGCTAGCTACCTCTGCATAATAGAGAAAGAGATGAGTAGTTCTTGTCCCTCAATTCCAATAAAGTAAACCCTAGATGAGGCATGCAGACTTGATCATAATGATTTTTCATTGAAGAATAAGCCTGGAGGAAAAATAGCAAACTTCTTCCCAGCAACTCCCTCCGTCCCCATCCCCAATTCTTGTAGCAAATCCTCAATTATAATTTTCAGAATCAAATTGTTGTGGTGACAGGTTCTGACTTAAAATAAACTAACAACTTAAATTGAAGATTATGGGCTTTGATTTCCTTTCCTTGTATGGATCAAGCTGCCATTTTAAGCTCTTCAGTATTACAGCAAACAAAGCATTCGAATACTCAAATGGTTATTCTCTTTTGCTTTTTTTCCTGAAAGAACACTACCTACCATAAATCAATGAAGTTTTTCAATCTTAACTTGAGCTCTCAACATTGCCATAAGGAAATCAGAAGAATAGCAGCAACAAAGTAGAGCAGTGGCATGACTGAGTATAACCTAGTTCTGGTAGTGCGGTTGCAAAAGTAGCTTTAAATAGTGCTTTGGTATGATGTCAGATACTGGAAACCCATTTGTGAAGAACTACATAGATGACTCTGTGCTCATGAGGGGTCTTCTACATCCTGCCAGGCTCTGGAGGTGCTATTATGAAATACCAGTTGCTTGGGTTGAGCAACTGTTCTGTTTTAGGCAGAAATATTAGCACTGCCAATTGATAAACTTACCTAAGATGATCCTGCTTTTTAATTCCTTATATATTTGCCATACTTTAGCTGCTTGGACTGACATTTTCTATTTTGGGTATCTGCATCCAGTGCAGGGTCTTTGGAGAGCTTCAACTATTTCTGGCAATAAAGATAAGGGAAAATGTTTTGTTTTTTGTTTTGTTTTGTTTTGTTTTTTTGCTGATTGTTTTGCTGCTTGCTTACTCTGAAGCAGGGATGTGTAACCCTCTGGTAGAAAGAGTAGCCTTTGTATCAGGGGTTTATACTGCTGCTACTGGGTTTTTTTTCTTTGAAAAATCTGCCAGCACATGCTCCATAGAGACTTTTAGAGTTTAGCCTCCAAGATTTCTAATCGGAATGTACTGACCTGCAGAGTTGAAGCCAGATTCTTTTTCTCTCTTGGTTTTTATAGCTGTTCTGTGTTAGGGCAGGTCTAGAACAGAAACTAAGGAACATCACTTTCCTGTCCTTTGAATGGCCTTTATCACATATACATCCAAGCTACATGGAAGAGGAAACTGCTTTGAATAAAAAGGACAAAAGCTGAACCAGGAGAGGGAATAGCATTTGATTGGGAAAGCATGGGAGCGTGGAACTGGTGGGGAGCTTTATAAAGAGCAAGCTTTTCTGCACAACCCTTCTTCATCTGTACAACAGGTCTATCCTGAGCACTGAATTTGTAAATTGCTTACTGGGTCATACAAGTCCTACTGAAGTCAGCAGAACTCTTGTGAATTATAGGCAGAATTTGGCCCAATTTTAGTTGGTAATATAAAAGTATCTCATTTAAACAGTTTATCTTTTCTCTCAGCGCCTCAGTGGAAAGGGAAGTCATTACTAGTGCCTGAGTCAGGAGAGACTTTTACATTACTAACACTGGGCCAAATAGACTCATTACCCTCATTTTATAGCTAAGCAGCTGAGGACACAGAAACTAACTGGTTGGCTTAAGTGCAGGTGTGGTGAGTGTACAGCATTAATATGGAGAGAACGCTTTTAATGTAAAAAAGAGGGAACCTACCTTTTAATATTAATGCTGCTAAAATGTACTTTTCCCCCTCAGTGTGCACAGTTACACCAATATAAAGGTGCGTTATAAACACGTATCTTACCCAGATCAGAAGAAGCTAGTATTAAGTTTTTATCAGTACATGCACTCTCTCTGGACATCTGTGCCCTCACAAAGGGCTTTGTTCTGCTTTACCTGCATTATGTAGATGGAGTATTTCAATGCTTGCATATGTTAAAAAAAAAAAAAAAAAAAAAAAAAACCCTT